CTAAGGTCTGAGGCTTCTACTACAAATTGCATTAATCAGCGCCTAATTTGGCTCATGATCACAGAAACCAGAGATCCTCACTTCAAAGCACACAGTAAGAAGTGTTTGCAAACACAATTCTGAGCGGGCAGATAGAAGACGACTTTTAATCAATCCTTTCTTTATATTAAATATTCAATTGGCAGGGTTTTAGGACTAGGAGTAGCTTAAAACTGAACTAATCTGCAACTAAAATAAAGCAAATATTGAAGTTTAGCATCGATGTCATAAACCTGCCTGCAATTTGGCAATATTGCATAATAGTTTTTGCATAATATATATCTATATATTTGTGCACTGTACCGCTAGCCCAGAGAAATAAATATAATAAACTTTTTGGCACAAAATATATTTATATTGATTCCGACCTTCAGGGAAAAATATAAAAGATCGTTTTTATATTTTATTAAACTGAAAGCATTTAAAAATTTAAAGATTTTATTCTAAATTCTAAATACAAAGTCAGAAAGATCTGTTGGTAATTTCAACATTTTGTAATCTTGAACAAAATTTGAGAGTTTCTTCCAAAAGTGTGAAAATCCAGGAAAATGGTAAATTATACTCTTAGCTTTTCCTTTACAAGACTTTTGACTAAAGTATGAATAAGGAAAAATTGAGAGAACCCATCTATTCTATAATAAAGACTTGCCAAGCTATATATATTGGCTCAGGATATTCTAGTACAGGGTGTCTCTGTAAACATCTGTCTATTTATCTATCTATCTGTATATCCTCTTTCTATATATCTATATCTCTTTCTATCTATCTATCTATCTATCTATCTATCTATCTATCTATCTGTCTATCTATCTATCTATCTATCTATCTATCTATCTTTCTATCTATCTATCTATCTATCTATCTATCTTTCTATCTATCTATCTATCTATCTTTCTATCTATCTATCTATCTATCTATTTATTTATCTGTCTATATATCTACTTACTTGTGTATGAATGCATTCTATGGGGTTCCCCACGTACTGCCTGGTGGTGATGATTACGGAGAACGTGAGCAGGATCACGCTGGAGATAGACCAGTGCAAGCGAAACACTAGACGGTGGAACACCGTTAACATCAAGGTTTAAGAAATCATAGATATTTAGATCAAAGATCAGAATACACTGTTAAATCAAGGTTTAAAGAAATCATAGATATTTAGATCAAAGATCAGAATACACTGTTAAATCAAGGTTTAAAGAAATCATAGATATTTAGATCAAAGATCAGAATACACTGTTAAATCAAGGTTTAAAGAAATCATAGATATTTAGATCAAAGATCAGAATACACTGTTAAATCAAGGTTTAAACAAAGTGGAACATTAGAGAATCAAATCAAAAGGTTTTAGAGAATCTGTAACGCTGTTAGTATTAAGGTTTAGAAAATATGAAAATTGCGAATTTTCTAATTACAATTTAACAAATTTTCTGAGATTCTGTAATTCAATCTTTTTAAAATTGTAGTGTTCAATAGAAACAATAAATTAACACATTTTTGTTTTTTTGAACTTTTGATTTTGAAAGAAAAAAAGTTCGCGGATTTATTTTAGGCCATTATAAATTTTCAATAAATATTTTAAAAACACCATACAGGAGAGTTGCACAAAAAAGATACAATTTTGCACCAGGCGCCGTAAATCACACTTTTTTTTGACTCTCCCTGTATATAAAGTATAATTTGCCTGAAAAAGTAAGTTATCCTTTTCCTTAAATTCAACCAACTTAACTTAGAATTTTTTAAACAAGCATTAAAAGGCTAAAGGGTTCCTGAGTTATGATCAAATAAATTATCAAGTACAATAGGTGGCAACAGAGAAATGAACCTATTATACACGACGTCACAAGTGTCAAATATAACAAGGTAAACGAAATTTTCTCACATTAGTTGACATGTTTTCCAAGATTAAATAAAAAAAGTGTAAAACATAATCTAAAGAACAAATAAAATTGCACTTATTACACTGTAAGATAAGCACATTATGCTAAAATTATCACGATTATTAATAATACTGAATTGACACCTGTGACGTCAGAATACAGCTGTACTGAGAGTGTACAAATTCTAAGTTGCCCACTATTATACTAGAATCTATTTGGACATACAAAGTTGACCTACCCATCATAGAACTTTAAAAACTAAAACATTCCTGTATAGTTCCCCAATCAAAATTTGAGGCAAATCGGTCAAGACTCCGAAGTTATAATCATCATAAATTTTTATTGAAATACTCTGTAGAAGCAGGAGACTAAATAAGAAGGTCACATTTTTGCAACAGTTCTGGTGCGATTTTGTGACCTCGGAGCTCCTTCATTAAAAAATAGACACACAAGAATGAGAAAAGCTATTTTTTTTGTTACATATAAGAAATTTATAAATTTTTTTGGTTACATATAAGAAATTTATAAATTTTTTTGTTCTTCTCGAAAGATATTCAATTGAAGGTTTTATTATTGAAATCATATAATATTTCAATCTTCTGTGGAATTTAGTTTACTTTAACGTGAGGAATGTTTTTAACTCTTAAAAGTCTGAATTTACAAAGAAAGTTTAGTTTCCGTGTCAAGCTGGGTTTCTAAGCTACTATATATATTTATATATATTGCTTGGTTTTAAACTTAATTTAAACTTTATCGATCAATGAAACAATGACGTATCCTGCAGGAAACTTATTAAACAAGACTATATTTTAAATAATAGTATTTTCAGTATTTTCAAATCTTTTGTCCAAAAATCAATAAAGCCATATTTTCAGGATTATAGTTTCTGTATTCTGTTTAGGTAATTTTGTTGAAATTATATTATTCTTTATGCTATTCATTACCTTAATCTACATCTAAATAAATGGATTTTTTAAAATTGTCTTTGCCATTTTTAAAATCGTCTTTGCCCGTTTTTAAATCGTGTCTGCCATTCTTTAAGTCGTCTTTGCCTTTTTTTAAATCGTCTTTGCCATTTTTTAAAAATTGGACCTAGTGAAGAAAAGCACTAAACTTGAAAGTTTTTAAGAAATATGATTCCACTTGTTTGACAAAAATGTTTAAAGAATAAAATGTGCTTTTTNCTGTTTAAACCCATAAAGTGGATTAGAGAACTCCTTGCTGCTTAAACCATAAAGTGAATTAGAGAACCCCTTGCTGTTTAACCATAAAGTGGATTAGAGAACCCCTTGCTGGACGGGCGGATTTTTGGTAATGTCAATTTGGTAATGACAATTTGGTAATGACAATTTGGTAATGACAAATTGGTAACTACAAAAAAGTGACAATTTGGTAATGACAAATTGGTAATGACAAATTGGTAACGTCATAAAAGTGACAATTTGGTAATGACATTTTGGTAACTACAAACAAGTTAAATTTAATTCAATTTAATGTTTAATAATTTGCTGTTTCTCACATTATTTAGGGTTAGGTTAGGTTAAGACAATTTCTGAGCAGAGCGCTGTGACTAGGATGAGCTAGGGGGCTGAGCGCTGCGGCCTATTAAAAGTTTAGTAATGTGCTGTTTCTCTCATTATTTTGGGTAAGGTTAGGTTTAGACAATTTCCGGGCGGAGCGCTGCGGCTAGGATGGGCTAGGGTGCCGAGTGCTGCGGCCTATTAAATGTTAAATAATGTGCTGTTTCTCACATTATTTTGGGTTAGGTTAGGTTAAGACAATTTATGGGGCGAGCGCTGCGGCTAGGGTGGGCTAGGGGCCAAGCACCGCATCCTCTTAAATGTTAAATGTTGATTATAAAAGGGACAGTTTGATAACTACATATAAAAAGTAACATTAATAACATCCAAGCATTGACACACATAAAGTCCGTTCTTGTTGTAGTATTTAAATCCTTCTGAATCTTGTGACATTTCGCCACCCCTCTAGAAGGGGTGATGAATAAGTAATTCATGATCCAAGTCTCCTCTTCTTGCAGTATATGACACAAGTGCAGGTTGAAACGTACTTTTTAGAAAATGTTGTGAATTTTTCAATTATTTTTGGCGCATTTCTTTTGCAGAAATAAAAGATTCCTAGAATCAATTATCTTCAATTGATTATAAAACTAAAAATTAAACAACTTTAAATAATGTCTCTTTTATTTCGTTTACCAAATTGTCACTTTTATGACGTTACCAAATTTTTATTACCAAATTGTCACTTTTTTGTTGTTACCAATTTGTCATTACCAAATTGTCACTTTTGTGAGCTTACCAAATTGTCATTACCAAATTGTCGTTACCAAATTGTCACCTTACCAAATTGTCATTACCAAATTGTCATTACAAAATTGTCATTACCAAATTGACATTACCAAAATCCACCAATCCCTTGCTGTTTAAACCATAAAGTGGATTAGAGAACCCCTTGCTGTTTAAACCATAGAGTGGATTAGAGAACCCTTTGCTGTTTAAACCATAAAGTGGATTAGAGAACCGCTTGCTGTTTAAACAATAAAGTGGATTAGAGAATCCCTTGCTGTTTAAACCATAAAGTGGATTAGAGAACCCCTTACTGTTTAAACCATAGAGTGGATTAGAGAACCCCTTGCTGAAGAAGAAATTTTTTATTTAAATTTTTTTTTTTGTTAATAAAATTCTGCAAAGAATGAACTTTTATAATTCAAAATATTTTTGAAAAAATGCTTGAAATTTTTACATTTTGCCATCTCATTTTGCCTTTAAAGGGGAAGCTTTATAACAGTTTTATTTTTGCACGACGTTTAATTAAGTTTTTGGACTCCAATTGTCTCTGTATCTCGATTTTTAGATTATATTTAGTTTCTCATTCGCCAGTCACCGTTAAAAGTATTATAAATAGTTATTGTTAGATAAATAGTTAATTAGTTAGAAAGTTAAAAAGTTATTGATATATTAACTCTACGTTGTGTAGAACAAACCCAAATATTTGGTTAAAGTTCCTTTTCATAATTTATTATGTTCATTAATTAAACTAATAAAGATAAAAGGAAAATAAAAGATTGATAGAAAGAAAGATAGATAGATAGATAGATAGATAGATAGATAGATAGATAGATAGATAGATAGATAGATAGATAGATAGATTGGAATGTAATATAGGAATTTCTGCGCCACTGGTTAGACCCCGCAATTTATTATTTCTTTTGTGAATCTTTTAGAAGAAAAATATATAGATAGATAGATAAATAGATAGATAGAAAGATAGATATAGATAGATATTTAGATTAATAGATAATTAGAAAGGAAGGGAGATAGATAAGAAAAGGAAGTTATTAAACTAAAAACAGAAAAAATAAGAAAGTTTAAAAAGATTTATTTTTACATTTAAATTCAACATGAGAACTCTAACATGAAATGTTTTTAACCCGGGCCACAAAGTAAGGCTGTATGAAATAAAAAATGAAAAAATGTCAAATTTTTTATTTTTTTTATTTGAGAAACCTTTTAGTGCTAAATGAACCCGCCCTTATCTAACTAAATAAAGATAAAATAGTTCATCGAAATATTTGTTTGTAATTTTAAAACTAAAAAAGAAATTTTTTTTCAAATTGTAATTAGTTCTTGTTGTTGTTGATGGCTTTTAGAGGAAAATTGCATTCTTTTTAATTTTTACGCAAATTCCGTAATACGAATCGTTTATTACTTTTTGGTTTATTTATAACCTACCGTTTCAATAAGTTTCAGTTCATAACGATCAAATATGGCACAACATTGGTATTATCAGATTTACACAGTGTGTTGCAAATTAGATTGGTTTTTATTTTCAAAAGTTTGAAAATTTCTGATGTTAATTATGTTCCTGAGCTGTCTATATGGATATGACTGACTTTGATCAAAGTCTTTAATCTGAGGAATATGTCCAACATCCTTGGTGAGGTAGGTTGGCCGGCCTGTAGGTGAGCTAGGTTGTAGGGTCGGTCTGTGTACTGCCCTGTCTACCCAACTCATGTAGAACTATCAATGTTTGTACTAATTAATCTAACATGGCGCTCATCAAGCGATTTCGCGGGCTTTCTTGTGTACACTGTACACTACTAAGATTTAGGTTCCGTGTCGCGTCGTCTTCCATGGTGTTCTGATAGAGTGGACAACATTTTTGGCGGAAATTTATTTTGGCTAAAAGGATCCTGTAAATATTAGTTTTCGAATACAAATGTTGGAAAAATTCTACATAAATTTTAAGCCAGAATTTTGCCAAATCTTTGAAGCAGACCTAATTAACTGAAAAGAGTTAAGCAGACCCGGTTACGAGAACAGTGTGTAGCAGACCCAGTTTAGAAAACACTGTGTACTATGCAGCAGACCTAGTTTAGAGTTCAGTGTGCAGCAGAATTAATTCAATGTGAAGATTTATGCAGACTCAATTAAAAGAATAGTGAGTATGACAGTGTGTACTATGTAGCAGACCTAGATTAGAGTAAAGTGTGTAGCAGACTCTGTTTAGAGTACATTGTGTTGCAGACCTAGTTAAGAGAACAGTGTGTAGCAGACCCTGTTTAGAGTACAGTGTGTAGCAGACCTAGTTTAGAGTACAGTGTGTAGCAGACCTAGTTTAGATTACAGTAGGTAGCAGACCTAGTTTAGAGTACAGTGTGTAGCAGACCTAGTTTAGAGTTCAGTGTGCAGCAGAATTAATTCAATGTGAAGATTTATGCAGACTCAATTAAAAGAATAGTGTGTAGCAGACTTAGTTTAGATTACAGTAGGAAGCATACCTAGTTTAGAGTACAGTGTGTAGCAGACCCAGTTTAGAGTACATTGTGTAGCAGACCCAGTTTAGAGTACAGTGTGTTGAAAACCCTGTTTAGAGTACATTGTGTAGCAGACCTAGTTTAGAGTACAGTGTGTAGCAGACCTGGTTTAGAATACATTGTGTAGCAGACCCAGTTTAGAGTACAGTGTGCTGTAGTCCTTATTTAGAGTACATTGTGTAGCAGACATAGTTTAGAGTACAGTGTGTAGCAGACCTAGTTTAGAATACAGTGTGTGGCAGACCTAGTTTAGAGTACAGCATGGCAGACCCAGTTTAGAGCATATTGTGTAGCAGACCTAGTTTAAAGTACAGTATGTAACATATCTAGTTTAGATTAAAGTGTGTAGCAGATATAGTTTAGAGTACAGTGTTTTGCAGACCCTGTTCAGAGTACAATGGGTAGCAGACCTAGTTTAGAGTACAATGTGAAGCAGACCTAGTTTAGAGTATATTGTGTAGCATACCTAGTTTAGAGTACAGCATAGCAGACCCAGTTTAGAGCATATTGTGTAGCAGACCTAGTTTAAAGTACAGCATGTAACATATCTAGTTTAGAGTACAGTGTGTAGCGGACCTAGTTTAGAGTACAGTGTGTAGCAGACCTACTTTAGAGTATATTGTGTATCAGACCTAGTCTAGAGTACAGCGTGGCAGACCTAGTTATGAGAACAGTATGCACTGTGTAGCAGACCCAGTTTATAGTACATTGTGCAGCAAAGCTAGTTTAGAGTACAGTGTGTTGCAGACCCTGTTTAGATTACATTGTGTAGCAAACCTAGTTTAGAGTACAGTCTGTAGCAGATCAGGTTTAGAGTACAGTTTGTAAGGGACCTAGTTTATAGTACAGTGTGTAGAAGAACCAGTTTAGAGTACAGTGTAGCAGACCCAGTTTAGAGTACAGTGTATCAGAGCCAGTTTAAAGTAACGTGTAGCAGACCCAGATTAGAGTAAAATGTAGCAGATCCAGTAAAAATTAAGGGTGGTGTAGCAGACCCAGTTTAGTGTTGTCCCACTATCCTGATGTATCCGTTCCTCTACTACTGATCTAGAGCTAGGATATCTGGGAGTATAGTAGAGTATATACTGGTTCAAGGTTAAATATAATTATACGTCACAATAGCACACTGCAGTACACAATAACACTAGTCACTAGGTACACAATCACGCTCACTGTACTGTACTGTACTGACTGTACATGTAGTGTACAAGATTTGTATGTACAGGGTTTGGTGGAGTGTTCTGGAGATATTTAATCCTCTCCCCTCACCTCAACACAGTAGCCTCTACTGCCCTTTTGGAGGCTGGAGGTTATCTATCTATCTACCTATCTATCTATCTATCTATCTATCTATCTATCTATCTACCCATCTATCTATCTATCTATCTATCTATCTATCTATCTATCTATCTATCTATCTATCTATCTATCTATCTATCTATCTATCTATCTATCTATCTATCTATCTATCTATCTATCTATCTATCTATCTATCTATCTATCTATCTATCTATCTATCTATCTATCTATCTATCTATCTATCTATCNCACTGTACACTGTACACTGTACACTGTACACTGTACACTGTACACTGTACACTGTACACTATACACTGTACATTCTACAATGTACACTGAACAGTGTACCTTTATGCTGTACACTGTACACTGTACTCTGTACACTATGTTTTGAATTCTCTGTACATTCTAAGCTGTACACTGTACTATGTACTCTGTACAATGTATTCTGTACGCTGTTCTCTAAGCTTTGTACTCTGTATAATGTACACTGGACGCTATACACTGTTCACTGTACACTGTACGCTGTTCACTTTACCCTGTACACTGTCCAATGTACATGGTATGATGTACTGTGTCTGATGTAAATTGTACGATGTACACTGTACGATGTACAATGCACGATGTACACAGTACAATGTACACTGTATGTTGTACACTGTACAATATACACTGTACGTTGTACACTGTACAATGTATACTGTATGCTGTACACTGTACATTGTATGCTTTACGTTGTACGTTGTTTGCTTTAAGCTGTACATTCTGTGTTGTCAAGCTAAAGCAACATTGAAATCTTATATGTTTTATAATCATAACTCCTACTTTGGTGTACAGTCCCGTTTTGCCTCATATTGTCTTTATTTGTACAGTACTGCTTGCCTTGGCTAGTTGAAATTCGGCCTGGTACATGAAATGAACTAGAATGTACCATGCCTTCTGTCTTTTTTACAGTGTGCAATCTTTACATTGTACAGCTGTTTGTTGTTCTCTGTTCACAGTACTTTTTACACTTTTTAAATAATGATGTTTTTGTGTTTCTGGAATCCTGAGTTCAAAGTCCATGTTTGCTTACAAGCATTATCTAAGGTTGAGGAGTATAAAAGATCGATAAGTTAATAATTATTTTAATGCTCTATAAAGTTTTAAACTTTACTGCTAAATTCATCAGGAAAATATAAGGTAAACTATTCATTTATTCATTTAATTTAAATATGCAACATTTGTTTCTTTCAGGTATGATTCTTTCGATTGTATCTGTTCTTTTTGCTGGATATCTGGCCTCCTCCAGCAGTGTAAGTGTACAATAAGTGTACATTAAGTAATAACTAATAATCAAAGAAATTATAACCGGGGTTAAACAATCGATGTGTGATAACTTGAAAAAAATATATCTTCAAATAAACCATGAGAGTTAATTTAATATTCAAGCATAGCGTAAACAAACATGCTAAAAGTTTAATAAGAATAATATCAAATAATTATTTGGAATAAAAATGCAGAAAACTCTAATTATGGTTGAAAAAAAGAGTTTTTGTCTTGAATAATCACCAGCACAACTTTACAGGCCGCCATTTTGGATAAACTGCTGATTGTGTACAGTGTGTGTATACTGTACACAGTACACACCGTCACAGGAGATATATCACTTGTCAACGAATTATCAAATGGTGTGACAAAAGATTGCTAACCAGGGGAAAAATGTGACAGATTTCAATTTTATTAAGAAAGAAATTTCAAATTTGCATGTTATCTTGCACTCATTATAAATACTGGAACAACATTTTCTTCTTTGATGCAAAATATTTCCTGTGACAATAACATTTTCTGATTCAGTTAATTATAAGTGATGTGACAATATTTGTAAGTAATGGGAGGTTTTTATACGGGTTTTCATGGAACCTATTCAATCAATTGACAATTCAACCCCTATCCTGTTTTTTATTGGCAAAACAGTAAACTTTATTTAATGAAAATATAAGAATGATTCATATCAATAATCTTTTAATATGTGTTATTATCAGCTTTTTATTGTAATTGTGTTTATATTGGTATTTATTGTAGGGATCTGTTTATATTGGTATTTATTGTAGGGATCTGTTTATATTGGTATTTATTGTAGGGATCTGTTTATATTGGTATTTATTGTAGGGATCTGTTTCTGCAGAAACAACTGCTGTACTTCTAGGAGGTTCCACTGGTAAGTATATCTAAGTTTAATCTTATTCAATAAAAAAAGAATATTTTCAAATTTAATTGAAGAACACAAGACGTCTGTTCTTTCAATTCTATATTAAGAATCAAAATTGTTTAACAAATATTATGATTAACATAAAGAAACTCACCATAGACTTATTTTCATTTGGAAACCTTCAAATTTAATAATTAAAAAATCTAATTTTAATTTTAGTTTTAATTTTAAATTTCACTTTTACATAAACTAGAATATATGATAAAATATGATTAAAATATGTAAATTTTTATAATCTTAAATAAAGGTTTATGAATATTTACTTAAATATTTCAGCAAGACAAAAAATCATTAAATCATATTAAAATTATATTCTTAGATGGTGGGAAAACTGAATCATATCCCTGTGATGTGGCAATAGGAGATATTGGTTCCCTAGAAGGACTAAGTAAACATACTTTTGTAAAGAATATATCCTGAGCTAAGAATTCAAATAAAGTTAAAAACAAGCATAAATAATATAATGTGTTTTACAACGAGAAAATTAAATTTAAATATACAATTAAAATTTATCACAGAATTATATTATTATCTTACAATATGGAATTCATATGATTAATACAACAAAATATAATTTTTTTTTAAACTATAAGAACATAAGAAAATAAATGAATCTATTTTGTGTAATATATTGGTTTTAATAAAGGTATATTTTTATTCAGCTAATTATATTAATATATCTTAGGAGCTGCAGTTCTGAATGAACAGATTGTTTACTGCGGGGGATTTAGAAGTGGTGGTATGCAACTTAGGAGTTAATACATAAAGTTTAATTACATTATTACTGAGAAAAGGAATCGAGACTTTGCAACAAACTCTGATTTTCTAATCCCTATATCTTTAGATTCCAATGTCGTAGACCTTTGATATTTCAAAATATGAGTTCTGTTAGATAAAATAATATAAGTTTGAAATATCAAAGGTTTACAATATTGGGTTTCAAAGATATAGGGATTAGAAAATCAGAGTTTGTGGCAAAGACTCAATTCATTTTAAATACAACTATTATTTTTTGATGCAAAAACCTTTCTTTGTGTTTTTTACACTTAAAGAACTAAAGATTGGAGCATTTTAACTTTTTAGTATTCTGCTAGTTTTTTTAAGAGCTACAGCAATTTCTGAAAATTAACTAATCAAAACTATTTTTATAAATGTTATCAAAGAGCTTTGTAATAAACAATACAAAATAAAATAGTGATAGAGGAAGAGGGGATTCAAACACATTGTTATGTAAATAAACTGTGTTAAACTCCTAAATGTTGCAAACCTATACTTACAGAATACCGCAGGTAGAATATAGTGAACTAGTGAAAATTAATAAATCAAACAATAATAAAATATGGAATAAAAATTAAATGTATTAAAAAAGATAAAAATTCACAAAATAAAAGTTAAAATTGATAATTTTTGTTTAGAAACTGCTTCAAGAATGAGGGAATGGACTGGATAGAGTTTGAAAGTATGAATGTTGCTAGAATACACTTTACTCTGATTACTCTAGGAGACAAGATACTTGCTGCAGGAGGAGCTAATTCAAAAGGGTACGTTCTATGTTTATTCTTATTTGTTTTATAAACCTTTTTGTTCTTTGATCATCTACTTTCTTTGCTGTTAAAAAATGGATCTTTCTAAATTAAAATATTGATTTATTATATAAAAATTCTCACAAACTGGAATCCTTCAGTTAAATCCTTCACCTGTTTCATTTAAAATTATATACTTGTTTAATAGGAATACTGCTACTGTGGAGGTGTTTGATGGATCCTCCTGGAAGCTTCAAAACTATGAATTGACCTCTGCAAGATTTGGTCACTGTGCTGTTCCTATCAGGTATGCTCTTTATTCATATATATTAATCATGACAAGTGCACACATATAATTATTATTACATTATAATTACATATAGTTCATAAATAATGATGAAATAGGATGAATTCTTATACAGAATATATGCTGTTGTCAAATATTTTCCACCATGTTTTCATAAATAAATCTAGTAAGATTTATCTACTTATATTTTATTACAAACATTGTTCACCTTTGCTAAATTCCCCTTTTTAAAAGAATAAACTGTAAATATTTAAAGATATCTTACATCAAAAGTTGGCACAAATGAACAGAATCATAAATCATTTTTATATTTCTTAACATTTTATATTCTAGTGAGAGTCAAGTGATGCTGCTTGGAGGACTGGTTAATACCTGGTCATCTCTTGTAGAAATCTACAGTATTGAAGAGGGATTCATTGTGGAGCTTCCATCAATGCCAACTGCAAGGTAATCTTTCTAAAATATATCTGAAGACTGAAACATTTAGATATGTTCTATTTTATATTTTTCATAATTTTTTCTCAGATGAATAGTGTCATTCTTAAATTGATGATAAGTTTGAAAATACTTCTCACAAATACATACAATGAATATACAATAATATACAATAATATACAATAATATACAATAATATACAATAATATACAATAATATACAATAATATACAATAATATACATAATTATAAATTAATCATTGAAATTTTTTTTATTTCATCCTCATACTCTTTGTTTGGTGCTTTCTAAATAAAAATCCTTTTTATTGCTATTAAAGGGATTGTTTTTTTGCCGCAAACTCTCAATTACTAATTTATTTATCTTTGCAACCCAATGTCATAGACCTTTAATATTTAAAATAATGAATTATCCAACTTTGAGAATCAAACATTGAAACCATCAGGTTGCAAAGAAATGGGGATTAGAAAAATTGGGCTAAAACTCAGTTCCTTTGTGATAAATTGCATTTATGAAAAAAATATATATGTATAATAACATAATATTTAACAAAACTTTCTAAAATAATATTTTGTGAATATTGTGTTTAATAATTGTTTGTTTAGGTATGGACTAGGATGCAGCATGTTTAAGGGAGAAATATGGACAGCTGCAGGAGCCAATGATGGATTTCTAGATGTTGTAGAAGTATTTAATTCTTTTACAAGCACCTGGAGGAGTGGGCCTAAGCTGACCAAGGGGAGATACTACCTAACAATGGAGGTGCTGGACAACAGCCTGGTAGTCTTTGGAGGGTTGGGAGGTGGAGGTGAAGACAACCTGGAGAAACTTGTTGATGAAGAGTGGAGGGAGGAACTTCTTCAATATGGACATAGTGGTCATGCCTCGGTATTAATTACTTGTAATTGATACAGAGATGTATGTTCATTCTATTGTAACTTAAATTAATACCTTGATTTAAAATATTGTCTTTTCTAAAAATAAATTGGATTTAATGCAGCAAGTTCTTGTTAAGTGGTCTCAATAAAATAAAAAGAAATAGAGTACAGAAGTTTCAAGTTTTAAATATCACACTTTGAAACATAAAATATATAAATATGCGTGCAACTAAAAAAGTTCATATCATTATATTATCTATGGTTTGATGAAAAATCTATCAAAAAATTATCTACTTGATACTGGTGTTAAATGATAGAAAAAGAAGAAGGAAATTTTTAACATAAGAATAATTGAAAAAAGGATGAGAGAGCAGATCAGGATACATGTAATTCTGTTCAAGAATCAGATTATCCAACAGAGGAAAATAAAAGACAGTTTATTCAAGAGAGTTTCAAGATAGATGAGAATGATGAGAAACTTAAGGAGGAAGTAATCAAAATGTTCTTAAAGAATTTTTCAGCTTTAGCTTTGCATCCAAATTATTATGGGAAAACAGATATCCTGGAATCGAAAATAGAGTTAGAAGCAGGAGCTGAGAGATCTAGAGTAAGACCATTGAACCAGGATCAGAGAGCAAATCTAAAGGATCCACCTGGATGAATGGATACAACAAGTGGTCATTAAACCTGCAAATAGTCCCTGGGCTTCTCCCTAGTTCCGGTTGAGAAGAAGGATGGAAGGACAAGATGGGTAACAGACCTGAGGCAGTTGAATGACGTCACCATCCAGGATGCTTACCCCCTACGAACATTCAAGAAAGTCTGCAAAAGTTGAAGGGTGCAAAAATCTTCACCTCAATCGATGCATGTGGGGCCTATCACCCCATTCAGATAGAGGAAGGAAGTAGGGACTGCACAGTTTTTATCAGTCCTATGGAACATTTTGTTACATATGCATGCCTTTCGGCTTATCTAAAGGCGGAAGTGTATATAGTCGGATTTCAGACCTAGCTTTAGCTCAGCTGCCTGCAGATTAATGGTTGTCATACCTAGACGACATCCTAGTATACTCTATGGAGACCTGGGCACAATTTAAAAACTTGAGAAAAATAGTGCAAGCCCACACCTAGGCAGGGATCAAGATACAATCCAAGAAGACCAAAATATTTTGAGCCAAAACTGAATACTTGGGACTCAAAGTGAGTAAGGAAGGTGTACAAGTGTTAAACAGTTACCAATCATATGAACTCTATGAAGAAGGCAGAACTTTTTGAGTGGTCTGAAGACATCGAAAAGAATTTCCAAGAGTTAAAGGAAGAGTTCACAGCTGGGAAAATTCAGGCATATCTCAGGCACATCCGGATTTTGACTTAGATGAATCCTTTATTCTTACCACTGACTGGTCTGCACTGAACATTACTGGAGTACTATCTCAGAAACAGGATGGTGTGGAATGTTTTATAGGGTGCTGGGGTGGGAAATGCATTCATATCAAAAATTAGTGCATAAAAAAGTGGGAGCATATTCTGAAGTACCGACCCCCTTTTTAATTTATACAGATGCTTACAGTTTCAAGTATATAGTGAATCTCAAATCTGACAAGACAATATTTCAACACTGGTATGCAGATTTAGCTCAGCTCCAGTTTATTGTGATACATGGTTCATACTAGTAAAGGATATACCCCATTTTTCACTAAATTTGGAGGTGAAGCTACACTTCCGGTCCACTGTGTATATCCAGTATCTAAGGCAGACAGAGAGATGGAATTATCAGCCTGGACGGAGACAATGCAAGAAAGGTTTCAGACTGCTTATGCTGGAATGAAAGAGAAACAGCAAGAATCAGTAAGGAGAAATGCTCAATATTACAAGATCACTGGCCGAATTTAAAGAATTTGAGCGGCGGTTTAAATTTAAGCTGCGGTTTAAATATGGTTGGTTCCACTTAAAATTGTATCAAATGTTTAAAGATTCAAGCCGGCGCTTAATTTAAACCAGGTTTTGGCGGATTTAAACCGCGGCTCAAATTCTTTAAATTCCATCTCGGGTTTGGCTTTTTGATCCAAAAGTAATACACAGGAGTTGGGATAAGTTAAGATTGAACTGGGCGGGCCTGTAAAAGATTATAAGATTGACCCAGCCTTAGCTGAAGTGATAGAAGTATACCAGAAAAGGAAACCAAGGTTGGTCAGTCTAGATGTATTAAAAGAATTTTGTGGAGATAACAATAGCTATGGATACCCTAGTGACCCACCCCACCCTTCCACGCTAGTAGGGAAAAAAAGCGTGGAATTACACCCCCCCTTCCTGGCTGGTCGAACAGGGATCAAACCATTACAGCTGTGCTAGTGGCCAGTCTCTAGATAAAACACAGGAATGTAATCCATCAGTGATAGTACAGACTAGACTTGCAGGAGGAGACAAGGGGGGGGGGAGCCCCCCCCTACCATTCATACTAAAAGAGAGGGAGGTGGAAACAAACGTTATAACCCCCCAGAGTGCGGTGAATGAGAACCAAGAGGGGGAGAGATAAAAGGAGGAATCTAAGGAACCAAAAATAGACATGACCAATGAATCTGTCCAAGAAGATGTGGCCAAAAACCTAAACCTTGAACCAGATGTAGAAATGGCAGATCAAGAATATGAGGTCATTAACCCAAACCCAAACCAGATGGGGATATTGAGGGGGGGGGGGGAAGATTAGAGCTCATAAGAGATTACAATCACAGGATGGACAAATCCTAAAATGGCAGCATAGAGAAGGCATAAAGCGTAGTCAATGGATAAACCAGAAAATCTCTTATGAGATATGGGAAAATGACCTGGATGAATTAGATCAACCCAAGAGAAGTAAGTTTGGCTTGAATCATTTATGCAGCCAATGCGGGAAGAGAGAAGTTTCAGATTCAATCATGAGAAAGCGGCAGCTGAAAAACACAAGCCTGTGTATATCTGATGGGTTAAGGGGTCAGATCGGAGGGACGCAGTCGGGACATTACAGGCAGGCAGGTACCAGGACAGGGACAGCAACAGGGACAGCAACAGGGAAAGCAGGGACAGGTGGGACAGTACACAGTCCTCAGCTGATAAAGTTTAAAGCGGAGTTGGCTTTTTTTCTACATCCATTCTCTTTAATCCTTTAAATATGTACCTTGAGGCAGTCGATCTAATGTAAACAAACATGAGTTAGTATACAGTGAATCTTCATCTAACGCGCCAGAGATGCCAGATGTCTGTTTATCATTTGTGTTATTGTTTACAATCTTTATTGTTGTTGTTACGCAAAAACTAGTTCTTCAGCAGTCCAAAAACGTCACAGCAAAGTGTACGGAAACCCTATCGCCCCCTCCTTCTATTCAATTCTTCTTGTATCTATATATAAATTTGGCTTGTCTGTCTTGGTGGGTGTCTGTTTGTTTGTATCCAATAAACGTCAAAACGTCATAACCGATCAGGCCCAAATTTTTTGTGGGATCTTGCGTTACCCCAGGGAAGGTTTATGAAAGATGAAAATTTAAAAAAATTGTGTTGAAAAGCTTTCTAATTTTGTAGAAAATTTTAAAATCTTGAAAATTCGCAAATCTTTTTTATAAAATCCGCGAAATTTTTTTTCTTTGTTTTCCAATGTTACATTAAAAACATGTTCACAATTGAGATAGAAGATGGGTGCGAAGGGCCCTAAAAGTCTAGTATATATATATATATAAACACATATATATATATACATATATATATATGTATATATATAGATTGATAGATAGATAGATAGATAGATAGAAATATAGCTATGTAGGATGAAGGTTGAGTACTAGTAAAAAGTGTAGACATATAAATAGATAAAATGATAAAAAGTGCACGAATAGAATTATGTTTTTATCAAACCACTCAAGGCCAAACTAATCTTCTACAACAGCTTTCTTTATCTTTCCTAACTCATCCTAACTCATCCTAATATTGTTTCTTATTTTTTCCTAACTCATCCAAATATCTTTTCTTATTTTTTCCTAACTCGTCCTAATATCTTTTCTTATTTTTTCCTAACTCATCCAAATATCTTTTCTTAACTTTTCCTATTTCATCCTAATATCTTTCTCAATAACAGGATAATCTTTCTTTCCCTTGTCTCTGAATGGTTCTGAATAAATTAGATGCTTAATATTAATATTAAGATTTAATATTAAGATATTCTAAGCAGTTAAAGTAAAAAAAAAAAAATCTTTCCATAATTTCAATCTTTTCAAGTTACACTATAAATGATGAAATATCAATTATTATTCCTCAAAAAATATACATTTTAAGGCCATTGCGTTTAAGCCACAAACTATCTATCTATATATCTATCTATCTAATCCATCTATCTATTTATTTATCTATCTATCTATCTATCTATCTATCTATCTACCTATCTATCTATCTATCTATCTATCTATCTCTCTATCTATCTATCTATCTACCTATCTATCTATCTAAAAAGTTTACAATATTCTCATAAATTTCTATTTGTAATTTCAACCTATATTTTGAAAGAAACACGATTATAAATCAACTGCTTTGCCCAGGTCCAAATGCACTTTTGAACTGTTTAAGCTCTAATCCGTATCCCTTGGCGGTTCGAAGGATTACGTTTATTTCTTTGAATATTTTTTTTGGCAAAAAAATCTTGTTTTTGTTAGAAATCAAAGATTTCAGAAATGCTAATTGGTACATGTCAACCAACTGAAACAATTAGGATCTAATTATGGTGGCAATTAACCAAAATGATACCAAAAGGTCAGATTCAATTATTTTGAAATCCGTCCATGAAAACCGGAAAATCTGCGAAAATTTTAGCTTGTTATTTTAAAATGTACCTAGAGGTGTAACTATGTTATCCCCCCCCCACACACTTTTCTCTCCTATCCTCCTTGAACATATTCTCCCAAGGTCGATGATGAGAATACAACTAGTGTAAAAACGGAAGGAAAAACCAGAAGCAAAAACCAGAGAAACCGAGGTTTTCTAGGTTACTTCCTAGTTCTAGGTTATATTGGTGGATATACATCACCTTGAACTAGATACAAGGAGAACCACGAAGAATAAAACGTCGGAGATGACTGAACCGAATTTTTAAAGGTTTTCTTCAA